GGGTTAGATCATCCTGAGGCTTACGATTTCATTCCATTTCCTCAAGGGTTTATCCCTCTGTGGTTCAAACAGTTCAACAAAAACCTCCAACAACATGTCGATTAATTTCGAGCACATTGCTGCAAAGTTGGTGGCAACGATGCGTTGCTGCTTCGCAATTTCGTCACTAGCTTTTCAGAATTTGTTTTTGAATGGTACGCCGATCTACTAAACGACACCTTCCGAACATTTTTCGAGCTAGAGGATGCTTTCATAAAGCACTTCTTTGGAGTGCACCACCAAGTTAACTTGAGTGACTTGATATTAGCCCAACAGTGGTATGGCGAGTCACTGTTAGATTTTGTTATTCGTTGGCAAAATTTGAGCATGATATGCGAGCCACAGCTTTAGGATTAGCATGTTATTGCTTTACTTATGGGCAAGATCAAAGGCCTAATATCAATCTTGTTAAAGATGACTACCGTAAAACTTTCGAGGTTTTAATTGAAAAGGTGGCTAGCCTGCAAGATACAACAGAGGCCCTAATTTTTAAAAAAAATGAAAAAGCTAAAGACAGGAAGCCATTTGCAATGGGTCCTTCGAAGAACGCGGGAAGAGAGCATGACTCTAAATGACATTTGATGATGAGATGAAAAAACCCATCATGTTTGCGGAAACCTGCTCGCCCGCCTCCTCAGAAGAGGAAAACCCAAATATTTGAGCAAAGAAACTCTAAAAGCTACCCCTTTAAAAAATATTGTGTGAAGATCTTTAAAAATTTGCTTAAACAGGTTATGCAGCTACTCCACCAAAGAAATCGGGAGAGATGGAGAGATTCAAAGAGCCCACCTTCTGCCCGTATCATCAACACTTGGGGCATGTCCTTGAAGACTCCTTCACATTCAAATATTAGCTCGAGGCACATTACAAAACCGGGGAGATCAAAATCCCCGAACAGTACTTAGAGTAACCTTTTCGAAGAGGATCAGCAAAAGTAATTGAAGCCGCTTAATTGTGTCGCCTACTGATATAGAGACATACGACACTGTATTTTTCTTTTATTTATGATATATTTTGCAAGCTTGGAATGGTGTGATGATGTCCTTCTAGACGCATTTTTGTAATCTTAAAAAATGAAGGAAAAGATTTTTAGTACACTTCTGTGTTCTATATTCTTATGGTATGCTCTAGTACTTTGAATGATGAATTCAATGAAAACAATGAAACCGAGGAAGCTCTCCCTTGTTGGCACATATCGCATATGTGACGATCTCAGTGATTCGTCATACGATGCATGCTTGCCAAACAATCATGAATGCCACGATCCAAAGGACATTAATTGAGTGTTTCGTTGGGGATGATCCGTCTGGGTCCCCTAATGAAGGTATCCAACAAGTCCACTTAAGAAGTGGCAAGATGCTTCCTCCAAGAATGGTGAAGCCAAATTTAAAAAGAAAAAAAGAAAGGCATCATAGATCACGAGATCGACGATCATCCCAATGTTCCTAAAGAACAAAAAAAAAATTATAATAAGGTAAATTATAATGTGTTGGCGCACCTTAAGGGATTTCCCACATCTTCAAGAAGTTCCAAAGGAAACTATATCCCAGTTGATCTTGTCTCGTAATCGCCTTGGGTAATTCCAAGGTAGAGTCCAAAATAGATTCTGAAATAAATTTAACCAGACCATTCATGCACCTTCATGGGATTTGCAAATTCATATGGTCCCCGAGGGGGTCGGGAATAACGATGTTTCAGTGACCGAATCAAAAGTCCTGGGGAAAACCTCAGAATGATTAAATGGGTTTCATTAAAATGTAACTAGTTTCAATGACTATTTAGATCTTTTACTTTTCCATTCAACTAAGCCAATGAAAGCTTAACAAGTAATGGTCCGCGAGGGAGGGGGGGGGGTTCAACCAATGAAAGTTTAACCAGACCATTCATGCACATTCTTGGGATTTGCAAATTCATATGGTTGGGCGGGTTCTAACTAAGTCTTGATGACGGAATCCTTAACTTTAATGAACTTTGGCCTAAGTCCCGAGAAAAACCTCAGAATGATTAAATGGGTGAAATTAAAATTTGAGTAGTTTCAGCGAATATTTAGATCTTTTACTTTTCCATTCAACTAAACCAATGAAAGCTTAACAAGTAATAGGTTATAACATGCCAAGCGTCCACGTTCAGGAGAATTTTGAAGTCAAAAGAAAATTAGCACTCAATTTATATAACAACCCCAAAGGAGAAAAATAAAAAAAGTAAAGCTCCACCATATATGGTAATTTTCAGGAAAATTGTGAAAGACTTCGGAAATAAAAACTATCCAGCACTCCTGAGAAGAAGCTTGAGGTGAGCGGTAAAATCAGAAATTTCAACATAAAAAACTTTCTAATTTCAAAATTCTCCTAACAAAATCCTTAGGATATTCTGTTCAAAGAATTATTAAGAATGATGAGGCCTGCTTAGGCTAAGGGAGAAAGAAATTAAAAGAAAGGAATAGGGAAGATGGCTTGTAAGAAGAATCCATCCTAGGCCTGATATATGCAAAGCTTGCATTCACGCATCGCGCGTCGTCCTCCGTGTCCAGGCGGTCCTCCTATGAAGAGATGATTTGCCTTCATATTCATTTACCAAAAGGCATATGTAAGGAAGGTCATATGCTTCGCTTAAAACTGATTTATGGATTTTATCCAGGCAAGGTGGAAGTCCTTAGGGTGGCCTATACCTGACACTCATGGTAATCAGTATAAAAGAAGCTATGTGTTTCTCTTACCATACCTCTTCGACCAAATGCTTTAAGCTAGATCTGAAAACAAGAAATGTCCATTCAAAAAAAAAAAATGTGGCAAACATCCTGAAAGGATTCTCTTTAGTTTAATCTAGAGCTTGAACATCATCATGGTTTGAGCACCTTGGGTGTCTAATCTCTAATTGACTTGATCAATTTTGGTATCTTGTCGTGAAACATGTTGATCAGTTAGCTCTTCCTAGCGGTCTAATTGATTCATGTTAAATCAGGACACTTAGATCCGACTGCCTTTTGGTATTTAAAATCAACTATGATTGATCCTGGTTCATATTTGCAAGAGAACCTCTGTACTGCTAAAATAATTCTTGGTCGTTAACCGGGCAAAATGTAAGCCCTTCGGGTGTCTTATACCTAGAAAGACCAATAAAGAAACAGGAAATAGTGCTATCTTAAAACACATGTTGTTCGCTCACTCTTCATCTGGGTTTGAACCATGCTTGACCCATTCATCATAAATGAATGTTGAAGACACCCTTAAAGGGGATATATATGTGAATTTCAAATTAAGACTAAACGTCATAGGCTAACGCACCTTGCTTAACCAACTTTCTCGGTATCTCGAGCAACTAAGTCTGCTTCGATTAATATTCGTCATGTCTGAGGGTGAGTCGTACACTTCCCATAAAATACCCTTCGGTCATGCAAATTCCGAAATAACAATATTCATATCAAGTACAGTTCTAGGATAGGACTAAAACCACCTTAAATGGGGTAAGGTTTCGATTCCTAAGCTAGCTCTCGAACGAATGTAAGTCCTTCAACATTCATGTTCGATCTAGTCACTATATCTTTTAGGGGTCAGGGTGACCTCTCCAATTGCTATCTCTTGTTCTAGTTATGATTTATGTTTTAAATTAATTTGGAATTTGTATATGTTGAATAAAAATTTAGGATAATAAGTATTAATAATTGACTTATCTGAGATATATTGGTAGTCTTCATGGGAATGATATCCAATCACTTCTATATTACTTGTATGTTAGTTACTCATGTTAGATAAATGGTGTTTTCAAAAGTACGGTTTTGTTTAAGAGAATAAAGAATTTAATAGTGACCATGCTACCGATATCATAAGTTTTTTGAGCAAATCTCCTCATCTCTATTCAGACTGCAACACGGCTTGAATCATTAAAGGAATAGTATGCAAATGATCCTAAATTTACAAAATCACAGTCTTTATGTAATTAAAAGAGACCAACTAGTGAGTATTCCATATACAAGAATTTTTAAAAGAAATTAACATTGCATCCCTAGAACCTTCCGAAGAGCCCAATAAGTTAAAGGTTTACATGTCGGAGGTCACTCAAAGCATTTGGGTTGTGATGCGATGTTATCACTCATGGAAACCAAATTCTATAGCCATAATTACATCAAGATGTGAGAAGATTTGCTGAATGTTGCTAAGTTTATCAAACTTACAAGCGAGCCAATCAAAACGTCAAGTTGTAACACCATTAGCCGCACTTGACTTTATATATGGGAAGAATTGAATTTGTTTTGGCTTTACTGAAAATGAAGTAAAGTAGATTCAATTATCATGGTAGTAGGCCAAATTTCCATTACATTGATTAAATGCGCTATTGAGATGCCTTACATCTGACTAGACGATCGATTCATAAGCTATTTTTGGAGAGAGTTATGAAAGATGCTATAAGCTGAGATAAATTTGAGCTCAACTTTTCATCCCAAAACAAATGACCAACGAGAATTGAACCAAACTCATGGACCAAAAGACCAAAAGAAAATTTCCCTAAAATTAATTTTCTTTGTGCCGACTAGCCCAATTTGGAAATACAACTCTAAAAATTTCTTGAAGCAAATGAACCAGATGGAACCATTCCCTATTATATAGTTGAGCGAGATCACTCACTTTGGCTAGCAATGCTTTTTTAGCTCTCATTTATCCAACCCTTCATGAACCTTCTTTCCAACTAATTCTCACAACTTTTTCTATTGAATTTTTAGTTAAAAACTGAAAGAAGATAAGAAATGTGCATTCAAATATAAAAAATACAACAGAAAATTGAGTTGATTCAAAACTGAGACACAACATAACAATATGGCAAAGAAATGCCAAGTAAAGAAAAGTTTGTGGGATGCATTAGAAGTTTAAATATCAAATGAAACATAACTGAAAAGGAAGATTAGCTGTTGGATATTTTGGATGACATATAATATCAGTAATTTATGGAGGACGGAGAAGAAATACCTAGAACAAGCAGAAATTATCTCATCTTTACTAAAGCTGTCATCTTGGCAGCCTATATCATGCAAATACAAGCAATCTGGATTGCTGCAAATCTGGATCAATTAATGCACAAATTCAACATAAATTGAGTTAAATATGTATATTGAGGAATCAAACCATACATGAATTATTTTGTATACCATGTTCCTCAACCAAGAATGGCAATATTTTGTAGTACCAAAGCTTGCTCTGCAGCATTGGAACCCCATGAAACTGTAATAATGGATAGAAAGAATGAAAATCTATGGCACAAAAAAATAGTGACAGGCATACCTTAAGGAGTTACCATCCATCGAATAGTTGTGAACAGATTGAATACAACGAACTGCATCCTCCTCTCTAGCATATGTAATGTACCTGTGTAGGCAAATACACAAGGATAAAATCCTGTTCCTTAACTAGGTAAATCAAGAGCTTCATCAGTCTGAACCCTGAAACTAATAAATATGAAAGGGGAGACAGAGTTTGCCGCAATTGAGTATAAAGGATTTTCAGGTAAGACAAAAACAATTTTCTGGTTAAGTTCCTAATATGATTAAAAGCTTACAATTCCTATGTAAAGACTATCAGAAGACTACAACACTTACACACTATAACAATTACTAGAAGCTTGCTGAGTGGCTGTTGTCGGACGCGAAATAGACAACTTCAATATTTTTCCATACTTACCAAAATATTCTTTACGCTCCAGTAGCTGCCAGTAATATAAGACATTTCTGAATAAAAAATTTCATGTGAAAGCTCTCCATCATATAATATAAAAAAGAACTGAGATTAGTTGTGGCTCCAAATCCAAGTGTACTCACGCTCTCATCAGCCAAATGGGAAGGCAATCCCATTATGTAAACAAGGTTTCGTTGTACCACACGCACCCTGCTAAGATTCTTCCGTGCATCTGATGATATCTTCAACTTCGTCTTTTGAGTCTTGTATCTTTTTTCTGTGTTATTTTCAGTCATCAATCTGTAGAAATAAACTTCCCACTGCATATCACAAAACTAATACCATGGAGTTAAGATAATAAAAGGTTTGACAAGTCATAAACCTTTCACAATTCACAGCCATTGCAACAATCCGCTCTTTATTGTATAAAGTACGACAAGCAGGGCAACGCCCTTCTGTATTTTCTTTCTCAGCCATGTCCATTATTTGATGCCAACACCAAACGCATATCTATACAGAAGAAAAACAGGAAGAATTGTTAGGGAGACAATCTCAAAATCATGCATTACTAAGGCAACTGTATAGATTGAAGTGTTATTATAGCTCACACAAACAAAGTCCAACTTTTTATAAGATAAAATGAACGATTAATGGTTGAAAAACAATTCAATAATTATGTACGCAATAATTGTTTAAAAAAACAACAACAAAGAGCATATGCATAAAGAAGGAAGGAGAGAAAAACACGGTTTTTCTGTGCCCAACACCTCATAACCACATTTGCAAGGCTTTAATTGCTGGTCAGTGAGGTCCATGTCCTCAGCACAAAGAGGGCAAGTTTTATCTCCATCATCATTCATGGTCGCTCTGCCATCAAAATAGCACATTAAAAGGTAAATACTTACAGTAAGATACATGATGGAGGTAAAGAATACAAATGTATAAACCATCGCGCAAAACCAAAGAAATTAACAAGCTCCCACTGCCCTAACTCTACATGAAAATGCCATCAAATCAACCGCCAAACCCAACATGATAATAACATCGCTCGTCGATCCGATCAGTGATAATTACCTTTCTACAAAGCCAACACGCGACTCAAATCAAACCAAACCAAAGGCAAAAACTGCGAAAACTCGGATTTGACTTTTTTGCAGTCTAAAAGCAAATTCAAAATATAAACCAAAACTACTCCCCCAACACATAAATCTACCCGCAATACCGAGCAAATCTCAATAAAAACCAGATAAAAGTCAATTAAACTGCTGAAAATTTAGATCCTGCAGTCCTAAACAAACAGAACAAGTGACAAACGCTGTGGAATGAAATCGATATCGATCTTCATAGGTCTTACAATGAGATTGGAATCACGATGCAGAACACTAAACGAGTAAACCGAATGCCACAAAAGCTTCGACTAGAACCAAATCAAGGTCCCGATACGAGACTGCCCTCACACTCTCAATCCGGGATTGTTTAGCTGTTGTGGCTTTGTGGGTCGCCGTCGATTAATTATCGTCTTTGTCTTTAGCGATTCGGCGCTTCGAAATTCGCTGTCGTGATTTATCAAAAAGTACTTGTTTTTTCCAAATGCTTCGCAGCCAACCCCTTTGTTTTTGGCTGAGCCGCGCTTGAGCGAACCTCGTGTTTGGCTGCTTCGATTTTTTTTTTTTTTTTTTTTGTGTTTTTTAAAAATCGTCAAATAGCTCCTTTAAAAGTCTGTACATATTCCATTTGAGCCTCATTTGTTCAAATTAAACTCATATTTTAAGTTATAATTTTTTTTTTATTATTCTATTACTCTCTTAAGAGAGAATAAAATTAAAATAAGGGTGCATTTGAGGAGACGGTGTGACGCTACACCGTAGTTTTTTATGTTTGACAAAACTATATTATCCATGGATTCTCAAAAAAATTGTAATTGAAAATTGGGTTTTCATCATATATATGATTAACTGTGGTAGCTGCTCGAAAGTTGCAGTCTGACTTTTTCAAAAATATTTTTTTATGAAATAGGCATTACATTTTTTTGAACAATTGTTTCTTCATTAGCAGCTTCACAACTGCTTATTCAAATAGCTACAGCTGCTCCAAACAGATCTTTAGTTGAAATGTTCAACTATGAATTAGTGATTACATATGCATCCTCTTATTCTGAAGGAGTGAAAGTGTTGCACAGTTTCTTAAGTTAAAATGTCGTCCGTAGAAAAACATGTTGCCCCACGGTAGGGAACAGTCACAGTGGGATTAATTATTGGAGCTTTAGAGCATCGTTCCAGGGTCTACACGACATTCGGGATGATGTGTTACCTAGTAGTTTGCAAGGAGCTTCATTGCAATGAGTAGAGGGTGGTCAACAACGAGCGGATAGCAGTTGTTAGCGGTGGTTGGCAGTCACAGGAGCAAGAAGTGTTCGCTAGATCATCATTGCAAATTATTGAACTTCATCTCTCTCTTCTTTAGGCTCTGATCTTCCTCTAGCTCCGGATCTAGTACCCTTCTCAAGAGAGTGTTGGGCTCTATTTATAGAGTTCATATTATAAATAAGAAAGGAATTTAGAATACTCCGATTGGACATCTTGGGAAAATTCCCTCTATCAGACGGTATTTTGTGAACATTTATGTGTCTTAATGATGTCAGAATTGTGTAATCTTGGGCTTATTGGATTCGTCTTGTTAAGTTGCTTTATTTGATTATAAGCTTTCTAGATTTACAAATTGTTAAATCTTCCAATTTTCTTGAAGCTTTGAAGTTTCAGGAGTGGTTTAATGGCTTGATATAGCTTGGATTTGACTCGGATTGGACAGAGTTTGGTATCATTAGGTCTGCCCCGTTGGGTTAGTATGATTATAATTTTATTAAAATTGAAATTCTATGTGACTTTTAATCAAAATTTGCTCGTTAATTTTTCAAATTTGCCTCATGATTTATGTCATGCCTCACGAAGGATATTCTTAACATGAAAAAGAAGTTTGAAGATAATGAGGCTGTTGCACTTAGTAAGGAGTGCAGTGTTATAATTTAGAAAAAGCTTCCTAAAAAGCTTAAAGATCCTGGTAGCTTTACAATTCCATGTGCAATAGGAGACAGATTTTATGGGAAAGCTTTATGTGATTTAGGCATAAGCATCAACCTTATGTCATTATCAATATTTAAAAAATTGAAACTAGGAGAAATAACTCCTACTTTTGTAACTCTGCAGTTAGCAGATCATTCAATAATCTATCTTAAATGAGTTATAGAAGATGTCCTAGTGAAAGTAGATCAATTTATCTTTCATGTTGATTTTATTGGGTTGGATATGAAGGAAGATAAGAAGATACCTATCATTTTGGGGAGACCTTTTCTAGCCACAGGAAGAGTAAAAATAGATGTACAGAAAGGAGAAGTAACTATGTGCGTCACGTCAATGATCAAGCAATTACATTTAATATTTCCAAATCAATGAAATACCCTATAAAAGGTAAAGATGATGAATGTTATAGAATGGATGTTATAAGATATTTAAGTGAATGTCATTTTAAAACAACTTATGAAAAAAAAATCATATATGAAAGAGTTGGAACACGAGCAAGAAGAGGAATTAGATCAATATGAAGATTTATATAAGGAAGAATCAAACTATGTTCGAGAAAGTGTTAAAGGTTTGGACACAACAGAAAAAAGATACAACTTTTTGTCCATCAATTGAAATACCTCTAGAGCTTGAGTTGAAGTTACTTCCTGAACATTTGAAGTATGCCTTTTCAGGTGATTCCTCTACATTACCTGTTATATTTGCTCAAAATTAATTACAGAAGAAGAAGAGAGTTTGATGAGAACTTTAAAAAGTTATAAGAAAGCCTTTGAATGGACAATTACTGATATAAAAGGAATCAGTCTTTCAATTTGTATGCATAGAATTCATATTGCAGAGAACTACAAACCAGAGGTTGATCCTCAAAGGAGATTGAATTATATTATGAAAGAAGTTGTTACGAAAGAAATTTTAAAGTGGTTAGATGTTGGAATTATCTACCATATTTCAGACAGTACATGAGTTAGTTCAATTCACTGCGTTCCTAAGAAAGGAGAAGTGACTATTACTTTGAATGAACATAATGAATTAATACCAACAAGACAAGTCACGGAATGATGAATACGCATTGATTATAGAAAATTAAATCTCGCCACTAGGAAAGATCATTTTTCACTACCCTTTCTAGATCAGATGTTGGATAAACTAGTTGGGCATAAATACTTTTATTTTCTGGATGGATGTACTGGTTATCATCAAATACAAATAGCTACTGAGGATCAAGAGAAAACAACTTTTACAAGTCCTTATGGTACATTTGCTTTTAGAAGAATGCCCTTTGGTTTATGTAATGCACCTGCTACATTTCAAAGATGCATGATGACTATTTTTTGTGATTTAATTGAAAAGGTGATTGAAATTTTTATGGATGATTTTTCAGTGTTTGGAACTTCATTTGACTCATATTTTGAACATCTATCAAAAGTTCTTAAGCGCAAACAAATTTAGTCCTTAATTGGGAAAAATGTCAATTTATGGTAGCAGGAGGAATAGTTTTGGGACATCAAATTTCAGAAAGTAGTATGGAAGTAGACTCTGCAAAAGTTTAAGTGATCGTTAATTTACCCTACCCAACAAGTGTGAAGGAAATTATGAGTTTTTTAGGACATGCTAGATTCTACATGTTTTATATTAAAGACTTTTCAAAAGTTGCTAAGTCTCTATGTCATTTACTTGAAAAAGATGTAATTTTTAATTTTGATGAAGAGTGTCTAAAAGCTTTTGAACTAATAAAAGAAAAATTAGTCACTGCACCAATTATTGTTCCACCAGATTGAGAAAAATATTTTGAATTAATGTGTGAAGCTAGTGATTATGCTATTATAGTTGTTTTAGGACAAAAGCATGAAAAGATTTTCAAAGTTATCTACTATCCTAGTAAAACCTAGTAAAACTCTTAATAAAGCTAATTAATTATACAACAACTGAAAAAGAGTTATTTTCAATAGTATATGCATTTGATAAATTTTGATCATATTTAATTGGAACTCATTGTGTAGTGCATATAGATCATTCTGCTATTAAGTACTTAATGAAAAAGAAGGATGCTAAACCTAGACTTATAAGATGGATTCTTCTTTTACAAGAATTTGATTTTACTATAATATATAAAAAGGGGACTAAAAGTCAAATTGCCGATCATTTATTCAAACTTGAATTGGAAAAACTACTCTATTTTGAAAAAGAAATTAATGAACATTTTTCAGATGAAGAATTGTTCAATGTTAACGAGTGGCGTGTTCCATTATATGCCAAAATTGTGAACTTCATTGTTAGTGATATTATACCATATAAAATGACATACCAACAGAAGAGGAAATTTATATATGAAGCTAAGAATTAGTTTTGGGATGACCCATTTTTATATAAACAAGGAAAGGATCTTATTATTCAAAGATGTGTGCCTTTAGAAGAAACTTATGAAATTATCCAAAAATATCATAATTCTCATTTTGGGGGACATTTTGGTGTTGATAAAATAACATACAAAATTTTGAAATATGGATTTTATTGGTCTACAATCTTTAGAGATGTTAATGCTTATATCAAAACTTGTGATCGATGTCAACGTAATGGAGAAATTATTAAAAAATATCATATTAATCATAGAATTGTTACTGTTTATCGTCCTCAAACAAGTAGTTTGGTTGAATTATCTAATCCTGAAATTAAAAGAATTTTGGAAAAATCTGTCAATCCAACTAAAATGGATTGATTAGCTAAGCTTGACTATGCTTTGTGGGTTTTTAGGACTGCATATATAACTCCTATAGGAATGTCCCCACACAGGCTAATATTTGGGAAAGTGTGTCACTTACTAGTTGAACTTGAGCATAAAGCATATTGGGAGGATTCTTACTAAAAATTTTCAGCCATGACAACAAGAAATTGTTACTGTTTATCATCCTCAAACAAGTAGTTTGGTTGAATTATCTAATCCTGAAATTAAAAGAATTTTGGAAAAATCTGTCAATCCAACTAAAATGGATTGATTAGCTAAGCTTGACTATGCTTTGTGGGTTTTTAGGACTGCATATATAACTCCTATAGGAATGTCCCCACACAGGCTAATATTTGGGAAAGTGTGTCACTTACTAGTTGAACTTGAGCATAAAGCATATTGGGAGGATTCTTACTAAAAATTTTCAGCCATGACAACAAGTTTTGCTTTATAATGCAAGGTTAAGATTATTTCCAGGTAAACTTAAGTCCAAGTAGATGGGCTCATTTGTTGTGATAAAAGTTCATCTCTATGAAGCTGTGGATATCAAAGATCCTAAAACTGATAAAATATTCAAAGTGATGGTCATAGACTAAAATTCAACTTTTTAGGTGATCAACTTAAATTAAATGATTTTCTGATGATGGGTCACCCAAAATAAGCACTGGTTACGTCGAGTTGACGACGTTAAACCAATTGCTCTGTGGGAGGCACCCATAGTTATTTGTGTGTTTATTTTTTTATGTTGTTGTGTGTGATTTAGAAAATTCTGGTAGTATTTTGACTACATATTGAGTTAGTGATTATTCTAAGACATTAAAATATGACTCATACATG